CGGTCATAACTCAATAGCCTCAATATCTCAATACTGCTGCAACGACCTTAGAAAGCATAAGAGCATGAGCATGAGTAGAATAACGCAAAATTAAGCTACTAGCTTATATTCTTTTTTTATTTTCTGGTGACTAAAAAGCAATTTTTTAGCCATGTTAATTTTCGCTGATTGTTGACTTCAACAAGTTTCTGTGACAAAAAAACATGGTTTAATAAGCTCTTTTTCTTTCCCTTCTCACTACAATTAAAATTATTTGGGGAAGGAGGAAAAAGAACCGTTTGATGCAATGTTGAAACAAACCTTTCCGACGATTTACTTAAAACACTGCCCGTAGTTTTTAATGCGGAATTTTTAAGAGCAGCCGAAGTTTTTTTCTCATATTTTCATACCCCCCTCCCCCGAGCACACGTTTTAAAGTTTCGATTTTCAGTGTAACTAAGTTCGTTTTTATTTGCGAAAGTATGAAGAAAAATGTGTTCAGAATATTTCATTCTAATTAATTAGAGTGAAATAATACTTAATGAGGATCAATTGAGCAATCTACCCTCCTCCCCCCCCCTACCCCCCCCCCCCATTCTCGAATGGGGATAGGGATGAGATAACTCAATAGGTACTTGAGACATGTTTATAACCAGGGGCGGATCTAGGATTTTCTCGAGGGGGGCGGATTTTCAAAAAAAATTCGAAAATTTTGACGACCTTTTTTTTTTAGGTCGACCAAATAGATTTTTTGAGCTCTCCCAAAGCACTGTGTTTGCCCCTATTTTGGCAAAACTTTCTGCGCCGCAGGCGAATTTTTGAAAAACAGTCAAAAAAGCCGTTTTTGGGCACTTTTTGAAAAATGTTGACAAAAAAAATCGCTTTTTTTTGGCGCGCGCTCCCCCTCAAAGTTAGTATACCTTGGCGCCAAAGGTGCCTTTAGAAAAATTTTAGGGTCGGTTGGCCAAAAATGGATTTCTGAAAAAAGTATCAAAGGGGGGACCCTTTGGGTCGGCAGGGGGTCGAATCCCTGAGGGGGGGGGGGGCGTCCGCATACCCCCCCCCCCGCCCCCCCCTAAATCCGCCCCTGTTTATAACCGCTTGAAAGTAGTTTGAATGATATGATATCATTTACTAGATTTTCCAGCGAACAATCATATCAAAGCTCAAAAATTACTTATAGATTGAAAAAAAGCAATAAAACTGGGGCACATGAAGCGACTTTTTTGTCCTAGATGAAAAAAAAACTAACGCGTAAAGAAATGAAGTGGCTGCGAAGAAACGTTTTTGATATTCAAATACAAGGCTAAAGCACTAGGTAAGTTCTTTCCTCGATGAAGAAATGGCCGCTCCAATGAAAATTTGCAAAAACTTTATTTTATGTCTATTTTTTATTTTTCGAAAACTTTCTCGCTACTCATGTAAAATAAACTTCAGTCGGTCAATTGATTGCGTGCTTCGAACACACAACCAGTTATTGCGTCTGCTGACGTCTTTTTCATGCGTTTTATTGTTGCTTGGGGGAGGGGGAAGATATCTCAATTGGCCTTTACGGGGGAGGGGCTGTAATTGTTACTCAAATGTGAGCGGGAGGGGGAATGAAAGAAGCGGGATAGGAGAGCAGGGGTGAAGCAAAATATTCGTCCCCCTTTTGACTCTATAATTACCTTCGTCCCCATCTTAACCAATTCCTTGCCTCCACTTGCCTATCTCCCTGCTCCGATTTGAGATGCTGCACACTTTCCCACATGAATTTGCACAATCAGTGACTCAATGTTTTTGAATTGCGCATTATCGCTCCGAAATTTTCCAATCAAGCAAATTGACCCCTGTCCAAAACTACGGCTGATCAATATGGGTCGCAAAATGTCGCCCGAAGTCGCGCCAAAACTATTATTCGCGTTTCATTTTTTTGTGTTGCGCAAAGCCTCCCCATTTTTTGCGGAAAAAAAGCAACTAATTTATTTTGGTTCGTGAACCAAGTTTTTTGCTCATTCAAAGTCGCAATTTATCTCTTATGGGCTAGCCAATTATGAGCCAAAATTACTCGATCGTGCAAAGTTTGTTTTTGCTTGTACTAAGTAGGGCCAGATTTTGAGTTAGCATGGTCGCAACTTGCCGATTTGTGGTCACTATGTTCTTGAGTCCATCGCCCCCGTCCCCACCTCAGAAATTTTGACAACCTGCTGACCCAAGGGCTCTCCCCCTTGTACTATTTCAGAGGAAGTGTAGATTGCTCAACTGATCCCTTTATGATAACACAACAAAACTGTAATTGTTATTCATTTGTGAGCGGGAGGGGGAATGCAAGAAGCGGGATAGGAGAGCAGGGGTGATGCAAATTACTTGTCACCCGCTTGTCTGTTTTATTTCTTTCGTACTCGCGTTAACCAATTGCCTGCCTCACTTGCCTATCTCCCTGCTCCCATTTGAGATGTTGCACATTTTCGCACATTAGTTTTTGACTTGCGCAATATCGCTCCGAATTTTTTCAATCGCGTAAAGTGACCCCTGTCTAAGTTTGCGGCTGATCAATTTAGGCCGTGAAATGTCGCCCCGAAGTCGCTTTAAAACTATCAGTGGCGTTTTAAGTTTTTTGTGTTTTGCAAAGCCTCCCCATTTTTTGCGCAAAAAATGCAACTAATTTCTTTTGGGTCCTAAACACGTCAATGCGACGTTTTTCGTTCATTCAAAGCAGCGGCTTATCTCTTATGGTGTAGGCAAAATTGCGCCCAACCTCTCGCGCACGCAAAGTTTGTTTTGGGCCGTGCTAAGTAGGGCCAGCGTTAAGACGGTCGCAACTTGCTGATTTCTGGTCGCGACGTTCTTGAGTTCATTGCCCCCTCTCCACTTAAGGAATTTGACCGCTTGCTGACCCAAGTGCTTCCCCTTTTGTACTTATTTGTAGGAAATGTAGATTGCTCAATTGATCCCTTTGTAACAACCTCCAAAAAGTGTAATTGTTATTCAATTGGAGCGGGAGGGGAAATGAAAGAAGCAATATCTCAAAAAAAAATTTCAATCGCACAAAGTGACGCCTGTCTAAACTTGCGGCCAATCAATTTGGGCCGTGAAATGTCGCCCCGAAGTCGCTTTAAAACTATCAGTGGCGTTTTAAGTTTTTTGTGTTTTGCAAAGCCTCCCCATTTTTTGCGCAAAAAATGCAACTAATTTCTTTTGGGTCCTGAACACGTCAATGCGAAGTTTTTAGTTCATTCAAAGCAGCGGCTTATCTCTTATGGTGTAGGCAAAATTGCGCCCAACCTCTCGCACACGCAAAGTTTGTTTTGGGCCGTGCTAAGTAGGGCCAGCGTTAAGACGGTCGCAACTTGCTGATTTCTGGTCGCGACGTTCTTGAGTTCATTGCCCCCTCTCCACTTAAGGAATTTGACCGCTTGCTGACCCAAGTGCTTCCCCTTTTGTACTTATTCGTAGGAAATGTAGATTGCTCAATTGATCCCTTTGTAACAACCTCCAAAAAGTGTAATTGTTATTCAATTGGAGCGGGAGGGGAAATGAAAGAAGCAATATCTCAAAACAAAAATTTCAATCGCACAAAGTGACGCCTGTCTAAACTTGCGGCCAATCAATTTGGGCCGTGAAATGTCGCCCCGAAGTCACGCCAAAACCATCAGTCGTTTTAAATTTTTTTTTGTTGCGCAAAGCCTTCCCAATTTTTTCGCAAAAAATGCAACTAATTCTTTTAAGGTAGTGATACTGTCACTCCCAAGTTTTTCATTCATTCAAAGTGATTTCTATTCGCGATGTTCTTGAGTTCATCGCCCCCCTCACCACCTCAGGATTTCGACCGCCGGCTGATCCAAGGGTTCCTCATTTTGTACTATTTCGAGATATCCATTTTAGCTGACCATGCTTAAAAATTTTCCATTCTTAAAAAGTTTTTTTTTAAATCCCCCCTCCAGAAAATACTAGATCCGCTCCTGGAGCAAGAATGAAGGAACAGTAAAACAATCAAGAGATGGGCCCAAAAAACAAGTCAAAGAAAAATCCCAAAAAATTGAAGCAACTATATTTTTTAGATTTTTTTTGAAGTTGACCTTACGCATATTTTAAAAAGATATCATCAAAAATTGAGAACTGGTACAAAAAAAAGATTAAAATTATTTACGTTTCCAGCAAAACAATAATGATAATTTATCTACAGGAAATAAAACTGCCCGTACCAGGGACTGGCAGTACATGATCGATCCAACATCGACTTGTTTTTTCTATTTTTTACTTGTACGGATGAACAAAGCAGCAAGTTTTTGTATTTTTTATGCTTACATATAAAACTATGAACCAATAACTGTAACCAATCATGATTTAGAACTAAGACATTAATATATAACTATAATCAGATCTCTTTAACTACCCCCTCCCCCGTTTACAAAGGGGGTGAGGAGATTCGTTACTTGGTACAAAAATTACATATGCTTAACCATTGAATTATTTCTTTCTAGGGGTTCTGATAAAATTTCGTTCTGATAAAAAAGCATCATTAGATAAATTCAAAAGCATCAGAATCTTAAATTTTAGCGTTTAATTTTGGATAACTCAATTTGTTTCCAAGTAGAAACATACCCGATTTTGGTTGAGCACGGTGGAAACATATTTGAAAAAAAAACAGGCCAAGAAAAAGCATTTATAGGCACTTTTTGGAAAATTTTGACTAAAAAATTGTGATTTTTCGGCGCGGGCTCCCCTCATTCCCCTCAAAATTAGTATATATTCGCGCCCAAGGCGCCATTAAAAATTTTTAGGGTCCATCACCAAATATGGATTTCTCAAAATAGTACAAAGGGGGACCCTTTGGGTCGGGAGGGGGTCGAATCCCTGAGGGAAGGAGCGTCCGCCCCCTCACCCCCTCCCCTAAATCCGCCACTGGTGTGAGGTATGAATACAATTTAATCCATTTATTTTTGCGGCAATTTTGTAGTATTTAAAGCCGATGAATATTTTTCGCGAGTCTCAAAAACAACCAAGAACTTGCAAATGCCAAATGAAACAAACGCCGGTAGTTTCTCCAATTCTATTGATGTTGCAGCAAAAGAAGTTGAAAATGTCGATGATATCCCCCCTTGCCAGAGAAAGGACCGATTTATAACTTTCAAAGGGCTCTTTTCCATTTACCTTAACTTTGATTCATAGAATAAAAATAAATAACTTTTTGAGCGATATCCATTAATTTTAATGCAGGGCGCTGGTTCTTTACGCTGAAAAACGCTTAGAAATTTGACCCCTTACCAAAAAAAACGAGATCCGCGCCAGCTTTTACCCTTCTTGGCTTTCTGCTTAGGACCTAATTGTTAGGTGATAAAGTGGCTGCATCTGCCTCTCGCTCGAATGGTCGTTGGGTCAAGGACCAACAATTTTGCTTGAGGGTGAGAGAACATGCCCATCCCAGAATAAATAACCAAAAATATTGCAGGACACGTCTACGGGGCCTTAAATCTGCCATTTTCAAATAAAGTTTAGCTCCCAAAAGCGCTATCTTTGTCGTGTCCCTTAGCAGCCATCTCTATATCCGTAAAGAGCTGAACAACTCGTATTTTGGTCCGATCTCTCTTGAATAAACCGTCTGAACTGAACTTAAATTAATTTTAAAACTTTTTGAGGCAAATTAAGTTAAAGTTTCTCATTGAACTTCTCCATAATACAAATGTTCTATTCAATAGCGCGATATTTTTGATTTCTAGGCAGAAATAGGGACAATGATGCAAAAAAGTAAAAAAAAAAACAGTTCGCTCAGTTTCAAAAATATTCGCACAGTTTATTTGAGTTCCCCCTTCTTACGATATTCCTAGATCCGCCGCTCGCTAAAATGTGTTCATTATCAAACAAAAATATAGTTTACTTTACATGAGTTGAGAAAAATTTCTCATTGTCAATTTTAACGAAATTCGTAAAATCACTTAAGCAATTCGCTGAAAAGAAACGGGTGTGTCAAATAAGTTTGATGAGCATTGCTCTCAGAATTCACTTGAAAAAGTTACATGCGCTTGAATCATTTGTTTATTTGCAAAATTATTCGCAAAATTATTTGTAGAGGAATTGACGACAAAGGTTGTAATGACACGGTATTGTTGTAATGTTTTGAGACGATTTAACCACAAGGTAGAGGACCAACATACGAGCTGCTCAAATCTTCGTGAGAACCGGTTAGATGCAATTTTTTGGTTATTTTTCTGGGCTGGGTAATGTTGCTTCACCCTCAAGTAACGAGCACGGATCATAGTGGGGCCTTGAACATAAGAACATTCGATTGAGAGCCTGAGACGTAACACTTTTACCGTCGCTCCACAAAATGACAAAATACTTTGGAAAAGAGCCTATTAATTTTCTAAGATATTAACGAACAAGGGGCTGGCCTTCAGCACAAACTTGACGATTCCCTCAAAGCTTTTGAATTGGCACTGAAACTGAACAGAACTCTGGTGGATTACGCGCCTAGACTTCTGGGTTGGGTGGCATTCGTCTTCTGAATGAGAAGCATCTATAACGGCAGTAAGATTGTAAGCATGTATCATTGATAAGCCTCATACAAAATATCGACAAACGGGTCATTAAGGGAAGTTTTTCAAAAAAATAACATAGGCTTTTCGTGCTTATAACGTAGTCCAGGATGAGTTTTCACCCAAAAAATCCAAAAATCACAAAGTGTTTTCTTGTAAACACGATTATTATTATTTTCGTTTCATTTGCCAAAATAAAAACAAATTTGTAAAAACAACTGGCCTTTTTTCGCGACCACCAAAGTTTTCAAACGAAAACCAAATTACGTTTTTGGTATACAATTCCATGTGAAAATGGAAATTCTCTTAAATGGCTAAAATCACCAAATGCAGTTCATCTGCGTGGTAACTGTCATTTACACTCTGGAATTTCTGATTACAAAAAATCTGTGGTTGTTGTTTCGGATGAAACACAAAATTTCAAAACAAAAATTTTTTATTTTTTCATTTATGGAAAAAATGCTTATCATATAATTTCATAGTATGCAAAAAATGCTTGTCATGCAATTTCATAGCATGGAAAAAATGCTTATCATGCTATTTCCATACAATTTTGGGGTAAAAAGACTGATGAAAAAGCTCAAACTTTAATTCCAGAGTATGGAAAAAAATGCTTGTTTCAAAATTTCATAGTATGGAAAAAATGTTTATTGTATGAAAGAGTATGATAAGCATTTTTTCATAAATGAAAATTGTATGGCAATCCATTTTTGCCAACCAAGGAACACTCAAACTTAATAACCTCCAAGGTCATATTTGGAGTGACCCCTTTTTGCTACAATTTTCTCAAAAAATTGGCTGCGGCTCTAAAATACTGTGTTTTTTAATAAAATATTGGCTCTAAAATATTGGGACTGAATTAGCTCTCTTTTTTGGCTGAAAAGAACTTGGAGCTTCAATTTGGCAAACTAAATTAACTTAGACAAAAACTTTAAGCAATTTTGAAACCACCTGCTCCCCTCGCTATACTCTCAGATTCGCACCAGAAAGTCTCCTTTTTGAGCCAAACGTTACTTTTGCCAACAGTTTGAACCAAACTATGACAATTTTAGCATTTCAGCAGTAATACAGTTTTTAACAAATTTATCGGACAGCATTTTAGGTTTTTTTTTTAAATCTGACCTTCAAACTTTACCTAAATTGAAATAAATTTTTGAAGTTTTGCGTTTGCCATTCTATCGGAGTTTTATGTGTTTTTTTCTCTGAAAAAATATCAAGGCAGATCGTTGTTGAATGACAAGTTTTTCAGATGGTGTCTTCAAATTAGCTAAAAATAGACTTCTAAGGAAAAAACGCAGTCCTGTGATATTGATCTTATTTGACATTTCAATACAATTTTGACAATTCAATTGCTATTTCAACACCCTTTCACTGTCTCAAGGTCAGATCTATGTCAGAAATTTGAAACGTGGTCCGATAATTTATTTTAAAACTACGCGCCACATTTCTGAAGAAAAAAAAACGTTCAATTACTTTTTAACTGTATGAGTGCTTGCGGTTATTTTTGTAATGAAAAAATATTCAAACAAAAAAGAATGCCACCCACCTGGAAGGAAGACACGCTGGTTCTCAGTTCAAACAGACATCATTTTTTCCTGGCTGGAGAGTTGGAGACTTTTTCGACTTTAACAGAATGACGTATACGATAACTAACAGCGATGTAAGTACTACTTTTGATGCGCAAAATGTTGCAACTTTTTTCTGTTCAATTGTTTTTTTCTTTAACCTTAGAATGTTGAGCGGTTTTTTTGTTCATTTTTTAAATGTTCCGAAAGGCTTTGGACATTTTTGAGCTGTTTGAGCATAATCACGTTAAAAAACAGTTCAAATTGCTCAAATCTTGAAGGTTTTTTGACTGTAAGCTCGGCCCCGACAGGCCGTTTTGTGATAACTTGGCTCACCTTACCGTAATTTTTATACAAATCGTTGGACAAAAATCAACTTGCATAGGTTTGGCGAAAGCTCATTATAAGTTATACTACCACCCCCTTTGGAACCAGTTCAAAACAAGTATTTATTATATACAATTATATTCTTGATAAGTATCACTGACATATGCTTAAATTTAACCTTAATCATGATCCATGACTAAAACTCACAAAATATTGTAAGGTTGAAACTATGTATAGTTTCAGCCAGAGAAGAATAATTTTAACTTAGCAAAGAGCTGCTCTTTATTGCTTCGAACCCCGCAACAATACCAGTATATACTAGATCTAGTGAGAATAAGAAATATACGAGTAAAATAAGAATCGGTATTAGACTAAGAAGTTGCACGAAACTATCCGGCCGAAAAAAATATAGCGTGACCAACAAACGGTATGCCCTATCCGAAACTATTCTATGAGAAAACCATCCCGGACTTAAATTCATCTGGTGCGCAAAACGAGTCTCAAACAGACCATAGCAAAAACCAAAATTAAGTCGACAAATTAGATCAAAAACACTCAACAAATTGATAAACCAAATCAACGATAACATTAGCTTATTTCCACGTCTCATTAAGTTTTATCGATTCAAACGAACAATAAGACTGACGCCAGGTCACAACCAGGACGACAGGACGAATTTCTACATCGTGAAACAAAAAAGCAGCCTACAACGACTATTCCTCTACAAGACTATTTATGCAGTACCTTTTTACTCAAAAAGCGAATTGCAAAATAGAGCAGTAAGATTCTTTCAAAGACGTATCTTTCACAACGAAAGATAGTGAGTTAGTAAGATGATTAATTTTATAGAAATATAAAGTTCTTTGCTTCTCGAGGACTTTTTCTGTTTTTGTTCTTCATCAACTAAAACAAACAAATTGATTTAAAACAAATAACCTTATTTGAAAATTAAATTTGGAATTATTTTTTAATTCATTACACCTTTAATTAAATTTCATATCAAGGCTTATCCTTGTTTAACTTATACCCTAAGTTAATTCATCTAAAATTTGATCATCAAGTTTTTCTTGGATCAATTAAAATGTTTTTTTTTACCCCCACCTCCTAAAACTAGTATCTAACATCCTCAAGTGTCGATTCAATTTCCTATGCTTATCTGCGACCCAGGATTAACTGAAGATTTTCCAAATACTAACTATTTCAATTAGGCTAAACATTGAAGAACTTCAGTTTTTGATTAATCATCGTTCACTTGAACTCTACCTTTTACTTGACCCAGGGTAAGAGTAAATCCTAGAACTAGTGAAAACTAAAATAGTATCTAACGATCTTTTTGAGTTCTGATTATATCTGAACCTTGTGGGTTAATTTACTATTCTCCAACCTTGATCACAAATCAATCTCCAACTAAGTAAGATTAAGTTACAACATTACACATGAGAACAACAAAATTCATTCTAAGGAATTATTATACTCTCTACCCAACCCGTCCTACCACAAAAAACTACCCCGAGGATTAGGATAACCTGACAAAAAAACTTACACTTTAAGAAATAGAAACTGACACTCAGTCATTCTTACACTTATGCGTCAATCACTCTTACACTTATTGTTAAGAGGAAGTTTAGAAGCAAACAAACAATCATTCTTCAAAATGATTTAATTACAGAAGCAAGATATCATCTCGTAAATACTCACACAATCAAAATGTAGGATATATCAGATCAAAAAGCAAAAAAAAAGTTATAATTTCAAAAACCAAAGCAGAAAAAAAAATAGTTTCCAGAACGCGATACGTTGTTTCGGAATCTGACCCAACAACAATACAAAAACTTGAAAACCTTAGAGACCTTTTACATGACAAAACAAACCAGCGATTAATCAAAAATATTTTTCCTAATCAGAATCCAAAACAGCATCATCCATAAAAGGCAAACGCGGAATAAAAAGTACTTGTATTCAAAACAATACATATACAATTGAAATCAACCGATAAGACATAATGAAGGTTACAACACCACACGAAAACAGATTCAAAACGACGATACTGTTGACGATGACACTATCCACCCATTTGTCATCAACCCCGAAATCGACTGGTCAAGAGGACGAGTATAATTTTGTCAAAACTCAATCGTAAGCTTGTTCCAAAAAATCCATGTGAACGAGAATTCCCAGAAGTAAAAACAAGACGAGAAATTCTAGTTCACCACCAACCAGGAATAAGTAATATAATCTCCCACTCTGGCATATTTACTATCGGAATTCGACCACAGTAATTATCAAATTAACCACCACATTGAATACGAACAGATCAAATAGAACTAAATTTCTTAAAAGTTTTCTCGGAATACTTTAAAATTGTTCAACATCAAAAATCTCAAAGAGCAAAATCAATTTTCACAAATGTTGTTTTTCCAACCTTTCTAGTTATGTTTCGATATGCTAAGAATCTCCACCACAATAATCTCGACCTGCAATGGTACGACGAGAAATTAATCTTTTCTCCTAATTTTTAGACTACATTCACAAAACAATCTAACTTTTAAATTTCACAAAAAATTTAAATCGATCTGCAAGGAATTCTACTATAGTTTTTTATAGATTTCATTGCTCAAGCCAGAAAAATTTTTGACTACAAACTGACAAAGAAACAATACTTGCAGACAAAACAGATTATGCATGTCACCAAGAATGGTGCCACATTTTTGTATATACTTAACGATATCGCAGTTCCAGCAATTGCAACTGTCTCAATACAGAACGATTAGTTACAAGCAGCCCCATTAACAACCAATACCACACTTTAAAATTACAACACAAAACTTAATGATAGAGTGCTCAAAAAAAATTAAATTGACACTAAACAATACTTGCAGATAAGAACTACACAAAAAAAAACTTAAACGAAACTACGAATCTATCTCAAAAAGAGGTTGAAACGCAAAAACATTTGCAAGCAAAAAAACTGTTGAAACAATACCCAAAACAACACAACAAAGTATTTCGGCTATACATCCCACGCTCACGAGACCATACAACAAAAGTAACACTCCGTTTTCACCAACAGCATTACAATCAACAGTTCAACCATCAGTTGCTCCAAAATATTCTCATATGGAAAATCAAACAAATAGACAAGTGCCAATGACTAAAAAACGTACATTCAACAAACTAAAATATACAAATGGAAACAATTTCGCAAACCATGATAATTTTTTTTTTCACCAATAAGAACATCAGCAATCCAATAGCGTGACCACTTGTTAAAACACAAAATCAAATAACCTAATTATACTCAAAAAATACCAAAAATCCATCAACTCAACCCATAAAATTTTCCGATAAGTGAAAACATCTGACAGATTGCAATGAGAACTACTCAATTTTTTCAAACAAATTAAAAAAAAACTCAAATAAAAAAAAGTTCAATAGAAATCAACCACAATATTCAGAAGATGAAGAACACCTTCACCAAAGTTAACAAAAGTACAATACCAATCACCGAAAAACAAATAGAACGACATAGATCAACCAGATAATTTTTTTTTTCAACCAGATAATTTTATAGCCTAATTCAGAAAGACCACGACAAATACAACAACAATACTCTACACAAAAAATATTTGTACAACCAGACAAAAACATAGTATCAAAATATCAAATGAATACTTAAGGTTACCAACCCGATTCAACGGGAAATGAAAATCCTGTTCTTTGTTTTTAACACAACTTGATATTACCAAAAAACAACTCAAAAATTTCACACAAATACCCAATACAGCAGATCTATCTGAATGAAGATGAATCCAAACCTCATGGGTGGATCATCCATAACATCAAACAAATCACCTGTGGTTTTCACAGGAACAGACACTGAAAATTCAGTAGAAGTTTTTCTAAACGCTGTCACAGTAAATCTAATATTAAATATAGGCCCAGAACCTATAAATACAATACTTCACAAAAATTGAATAATTTATAGACTGTACAGCACTGATACAAACCACACTCGACGGTGAAGCTCAAAAGTGGTTTCAGTTTTACCCATAAAAATTGAATCTGATCGGAAACGACTTACAAAATAATTTTCAAAATTGTTTGACTTCGAAAGAAACAAACAACATCAAAGAGTATGCAATGAAGTTGGCAGACTCGCAAATATAGAAACTCTGGTACAGAAAGCCTTCTCTCTAATTACATACCTATAAAAAATCAAAAAATTGACCGAAATTCTAAAGATGACCTTAACAACACAATTAAGAAAAACAGCATTAAAAAGAGAGCATCAGATTATTCATCAATTCGCGAACCAGACATATATTCACGCAAACTAGTTGACAAATTAGAACAAGCAGAAATCGCAATAAAACTAGAAGAAAGAGAAAAATTAAAATTACAATATGTCAATAAAATTCAGACAACTAAGTCACACATAAGTAACATCCAAGACTCCGATAAAAATTTAGCAGAAAAAATCACTTAAATCCAAAACATATACCAAAAAGAACCCAATTTTAAAACCACTCAATCAAAAAGTTGTGTAATTTTTGCCGCAGGTACGGACATTGTCTTGCCGAATGCAGACAAAAACAACAAGATAAATCAAACCGACCACAAGAACAGTAAGAACTAAAATTTCATTTACCAATACATGCAGAAAAACAAAACTTACCAAACAAAAACATGCAGAGTAATAACAGTTCAGGAAAGCCACTCCCACCTAGTTATACCAATACCAGACCACAATCACACAATCACCAAATTT